AAGCAGAGATCATTAGAAGCAACTGAACATGATTTATTGATATACAGAAATTAATTAAACTATTTGGTGATTAGATTCAGATGGGCCATGACAGCAAAATTTAATCCCAGTGGTGATAAGAATTAGGGAAGTACTTCCCACAGTCTAGACGCTAGTGATGGCGATGAAGATGGAGGTTTGGATGGAGCCTGAGTAACATGGGAGAGGAGGTGGGTTGCAGGGAGGCGACTGCAAGGGAGAGTGACGGATGAGCAGTGAGATTTAAAGCATGCCAAGTGGAGGCTGATTGGCCTGAAGAAGGCAGGCAGAAAGATGATTGGATGTGAGCTTAACAGCTTGAAAGTGATGCAAAGCATCCAAAACATCCAGGAAGCAGATCGATGTGTGACTACAGATCTTCCTTAATGAACTTACGTGTAAGCTTCGTTTTTGTCTGGTAAGACAGTGAAATTGCCATGTCACATCAATGACCCGTCTACAAATTGAACAATCTCAGAGTTCCTCAGTGAAAAATTGAGAAGATTTTCAATATCTTATCTACAGTACATAAATCAAACAATTCAGACAATCTTGAACAAACTCTGTCCACAAGTGGCAAACCTGAAAATCCATGCATGGACTCAGGAACCCTTCCAGAAATCACTGTCTGTAAAAACAGCTAACTGTGCTATCTGCAAATGCAGGTCAAAGCTCTGTCATGTAGAGATGATGCCATGATGATGGCACCATAACCCAGAAACCAGAAACACCACCATCTTCTTTGGGTTAAAGCCCATTTAAAGTTGACTGAGGCAAAGTGGAAAACTGTTCTATAATCGGACAAACTGAAATCTAAAGTTATTTTTGGAAAACATGAACCCCACATCCTTTGGGCTAAAGATGAGAGCGATCATCCAGCTTGTCTTGAATGTGTGTGTACATCTGGAAAGCCACCAACAATGCTAAAGGTAGATACAGGTCATTGTTCACAAACACTGATACATTTTGAAAAGTTAAGAAAAAGCTAAGTCATGCTCCATAGATAGTGAACAATTGTATTTTGGCCACTAAGTTCCTCTTTTATGCTGCACAATGACTGTTTACATTTATGCACCTAAAGCCTGTTAAAAATAAGGGGAAAAAACATATATACTTAAAAAATAATCCACAAAAAAGAAATCAATCCTCACTTGATGCTTCTGCTATTCACATTAGATGTGTATGCGTTGTATGTTGACCATGATTAGTTTCTAAAGTTGTTGTAATTTAACAAAATGATTACAGGTAACAGCAATGAGAACAAATGGTGATTTTCAGGACTAGGGGAGGCACAGGCTTTTTCATACTGTTTCTATGTAAGTGCTTTCTAACATTCACACTCTGGTGGATGCACTGGAATTAGTATCTTGCTCAAATATAATTGCCTTGTAGACAGGGATCAACCCACCAGCCTTCTGATTAGTAGGTGAGCTGCTCTACCTCCTGAGCCACAGCCACCCCAAGAAAAGCAGCTAGCTCTTGCAGCAGCAGGTGAGGTAATGATGAACAGGGATCCACTTCTTGTGGCCAAAGGAGGGATCCCCACTGGGAAAACAAGGAGAGATGATATTAGTACTCTGGGGGAGCAAGGTACACAAGGAGCAGCTAAAGCATGCCTGATAAGTTGAATGAACTTGTCATTTCAGCAACACCAAAGGACCTGAAAACTCACAGAAGATAACTAAAGTGGATGACGACAGAATAATTTAGTAAGTAAGAAAAACACTCTCATAACATCTAACAAAATCACATTCAGGGAATCAGGCTCATCATTGTTCATTTACTGTGGGTGTATACTGTTCAGAGAAGGGACATTAAATGACATGTTTACTAAAATACATTAGTTTAGCAACATATTTGTGTTTATTATTTCACTGGCTTCAACTCTTTCAGTATAATTGACAAGAAGTCATGATCACAGTCTGTAAAAAAGAAAAGTTTTCTCTCTTCTTCTTTTTATGTTAGACTGAGGCCAGACTGGACACTACATTGACCCACTATTACTTTCTCCAAAAAGTGGTATTAAACTGTTTAACGTGCTGTTATCAACATAATGCCACAGAAGAAGAAATTGTCTGCCTCTTTGTGAATTAAAGCACAATTGCATAATACTGCCACAAGATGGTGCCCCCTTCCTTTTAGTTGTGTTAAGCTGGAGCATAAGGCTGTACTACTAAAAGAGATTAATGGGTTAGCATGCTATGTTGCTAATGTTCCTTTGCACTCTCCACTAGTCGGGAACATTCCCATAACACTGGCAAATGCAGAGGTGGCAAAAGACCAGGCATTCTTTACTTAGGTAGCAGTACAGATACCTGTGTAAAATTGGCTCAGCTGTTTACAGCTTCAATTTTTTTAAAATCCCCTCTCACCCTGCAGGCGGTCTTTTATCCTTCAAGCTCAGGTCCTCTACCAGAGGCCTGGGAGAGACTCCTAGGACTGTGCTCTTCTGGACAGAGACAGTTCAAGCTCTTCTCTCAGCCCTTGGTACTTCTTGAGCTCTTGTGCTCCTTTTACCTGATGTTGCTATCACTCGGTATAGCTACATCTATCACTGTGGTCGTGTTCTTTGTCCGGTTGGTTAGTCACCATCGGTTTGTCCATCTGTCTGGAAGTCATTCTCAACAACCCTAGGGAGTGCGCCTAAGGGTGGGTTTAAAAAATTTATTTTCCGATTAAAATCAATTTTAGCTTAAATAACGTGATATTGATTCATTAAATCCTGAATCGATTTTTAAATATAAATGTATTTTGCCACAAACCCCAGAATCTCAGGTTAAAGCTCACAAAACATTTCAACAACCACCAAACAGCTAAAACAGCAAATGAGAGCAGAGTAAACAGATTCTCCACAAAGATGTGAACACAGACACAAACACATCCCTCCGTTCACCCGACGACACGTACATATACATGCCGTTGGGTGTTGGAAACCGACATCTCACAGATTCTGAAGCTGTAGGTTTCGTCACTCTCCAACCATAATTCACTGAACCAGCAGCAAAAGAGGATGAAAAGTACACTTCCTACTTTGTCTGTTTTGTGATTTTATTGTTTTCACCACAATAAAATGGCACTTCCTGCACAGCTCTCTCTCTCTCGCTCTCTCCCTCTCCCTCTCTCTCTCGCTCTCTCCCTCTCTCTCTCAGTGTATTTCAAGAACAGTTTCCCATCTCAAATCTCTGTTTTCTGAATTATTTGCTTGCTTATTGCGCACCAGTCTACCATTGTTTACAGCGCTGTAGGCCACTGTTTAGGGGTTGTTGTTGTTTTGTTTTTTTTTCAAAAATGACCTCTGACAAGAAAGCCTAATTTCTGCTGTTAATATGAAGAAAACTTTTAAAATATGCCAAATTGCAAAACCTTAGCTGTTTCTAATAAACCTCTGTAACTTTGCTCTGCTTCACTTAGCAGCATCAGGTAATGTTCATATGTTGATTCATGGTTTTCTTCTAGTTTTTTCTACTGCAGAATATTTTTAAGGTTATCTGTCTATAAAAAGCCAGGCCAGGAAAATCTCTTTCATGTTTTTCTGTTTTATCCTCAGTTACTTTGACACAAAGGCATCTGCTGTGATGCTCACACCTCTGATGAAGTCTCACAAGTGTCAGCTTTGTTTTTATATAAAAATATGGATATGTACTGATAAATGATCAAAATTATAATATTTCTGACTGTCTGAGTCAAAACTGAATCGGAATCAAATCAGTTAAAGAAATCAAAATCCAATGTGAAAAGATACAAACAAAGGTTTATTCTGCAGCTTGTAAAATACACTTTAAAGCAAACGTATTCACAGTTTTACTTTACCAAGTCAACACAAATGCAATAAAATACATTTTGATAAAGTTTGATTATGCCAGCTAAATATAAGCTTTATCACTTCCACTTTCCCACACTGTCAAGCTGTTTGTGTCATCACTGGTGTAGTCCAATCACCTTCTCCCGGCCTTTTCCAGGCCAATCAGCACTCATGCCACGTACTTTATATCTCACTGCGCATCTGTCTTTCTCCTTTGCAGATGCTTTTGTGCAACCCACCTCCTCCCCATCTCCACCTCTCATCTCTCAAGCCACCTTCATCATCACCATCAGCGTAGAGGCTCGGGTCCTGCTCTAATCCCTTTCACAGCTGAGGTTCCGTTCGGCTGAGACGGGCAAACCGCCAAACATTTATCTATATTTTGTTCATCAATGAATCATGTTTATTCCTTTGAATGATCTGTCCTTACTGAAATGTTTGTATAGTGTTAAACAAGCAAGAGTGAAACATGTTTTAAAAAATATTTGGTAGTTTATTGTAAAAAACTAAAATTACAAGTCTGTGCAGCAAAATAAAACATCACTCATGCAAGAGAAAACCTTTAGCATGTCATAATAGACTAATGTAACGTCAGGCATAGAAACTAAAAATAATTACTGTATTATTATCAAACTTGCTGTATTAATAAATGTACAAAGACGTATTATTTATTTGTTTCAAAATAGTTGAAGTAAGCAGTAGAAAGACCCTCCTCCCTACCTATCAGGAAGTTGGTTTTTTTACAGAGAGCTGTGAAAGGTGTTGTGGTTCACTTGAAAAACCTGAAGTGAGGGTCGCGGAGGTGAATCTTGATGCTAATCTTTCTTTTAAATATAGAAGGAACTGATTCCATATTAGCACCAGTTTGCTGTTTTGTTTTTGTGAGTCAGACACAGGTGGACTAACTCTGAAGTCAAGAGTTTGAATCATCAGCATGATGAGCCGTCCACAGAAATACAAAGAAGGTAAGAACATTAATGTGGTGGTAAATCAACAGGGAGAAGAAAAATCTACCCTTTTTATGAACAATGCTGTTTTCATACAATGTGATATGTAGTGGAAAATGATCCCAACGTAGCTAAAATATCTTAAGCCTGTGTTCAGGGTTTTATCAATTTATCAAAAAAATAAGAAAGTGTGTTGATGTCTAATATACAGTGTGTCAAGATTCCCGTTGCGTTGAGTTAGCACTATTTATTAAATGTTTATGTACTTGTGTGTTCACTTTCTGTCTCCTCTGAATCAGGTGAAGCTCTTCACTCTCAACATGCAAAATCAAACAATGCGTTAAAGCTCAGAGTGGCCGTGCTGGTTGTCTGTGTTCTCCTGGTATCGGCTCTCGTGGTAACTTATCTCTGTGAGTTTGTAGTTCTATTCATGTAGCATTATGTAGCTTTTCATGTGTCTGGTTTATCATAAATTTACATGAGAATCAGGATCTTTAAAAAAAAATTGTGATTTATGACTTTTTAATTAATCTAATCATATTTTATTTTAAAATTCTAAAAGGCTTCAGGACACATTTGTCCTGTATTTTAATTAAAATAAAAACATTTTTAACAGTAATTTAGCTGTTAATAATGTCCAGTGAGCTATACTATCACCTAATTTCCACAATAAGCATCAAGTTCTTGCTCCTGTAGCGCTACAGAAGCAACATATACAGTCAAATTTGTATTTATTAAAGTTATTAAAACCTGTCAGAAATAGTCAGTCATAATGTTTTACTTTACATTAAATTATTTTTATAGTAATTTATGTTAACATATTTAACTTGTTATTTTTATTTGTAATTGACATGTTAAAAATAATCTAACTTCAACTCAGACATTCTTATTCATGAGTCTCAGGCAACACACTAGCCATCAGTGAAAGTTGTCTGACTAAATGTCTAACTTGCCATTTATTTTAACATATTAATTATATTAATTTTTAATATTAGCATAAACATACTAATTATATAACATTTAAAACACATGATTTTAACCATACAGTTATATAATAAAATACTTGATTGATACTGCATTCAGTTAATGAAATATCAATTCATAGCTAAAAAAAGATTAAAATTGTGTTATAACATATCTATAATAGGTTATGACATAATCAAAATATGTCAGAAATTTATTACCGGCTTTAGTGCAACCTCATGAATGTAATTTTGACAGCATGTTTTGTTAAATATTCTTTATCACACTCAGACCAAATCTGAAGGAATTCACAACTTCTTTGTCACATATCAGTGATGTCCAAGACAAAAATAAACACATCAATTAAAAAAAAGAAGATTTTAAGCTGAACCAAAATCAGCCAAGTTACTCTACTCTCTGTTTATATGGGTATATTGTTTACCTGCATGCTACCAAAGCCTGCTCATGTGTGAACAAAATCGTGACTACAAGTTTGCTGAAATAATATCAGTTCTAGTAACAAGACCTTCTCCTTGGCTATTGACTCTGGAAAATCAAAGGCAGATATTCTTTACAGAGATTAAGTGAAGCCAAAAACAGTACTGACTGGGTTACATTTTTTTTCTTATTTAAGTGTTTGAGCTTTTGAAAACCAAGGAAATGCTCAGAAAAATTGAACTGGAGCGGGAAACTGTTAAAATTCATGTCACAGGTAAGAAAATGAGACTCCTACACTGCAATTGTGGACTTTCAATTTTGTTTATGACCTCAGGAATTCAATCACATAACACGACATTTCTCCTAAACTTTTACTTTACTTTCCCAACATTCATTTTCTATTCTGTTTTTCGTTTGTTTTGTTTTTGTTTTATTTTTTTCAGAGAGATTGCCTGAAATCAAACCATGCAATACAGTGACGCCCACATGTCCATTGCAGCCTGAAATTAAAATAAGTAAGTTATTAACTTTTCGCCATGACTTGTATCTGCAGAAAGAGATGGAATAAAAACATATACAGGATCAAAAGAGCACCCTGCTACAAAGAGACGATTGTGATGAAAAATTTATTGAGTAAACTTTTTTAAATTTCTTTTTCATAACAGTAACACAACCTTACAGCACAATAAAGCCTACAACCACAACCTCACAACGTCCTGAAGTAAACATGAGTAAGTTTTAGATTTTGTCTTTGACAATGTTTTTATCCTGTGATTGAAATAAAGTTGATGGACTGACAGAAATGATAAGATAAACTGTAAGTGCAGCACAGAGGCACCTCCTTCTGCCTCCAAATCTCACAAACATAAACATGATTTGTTCCACCTGAAGAAATATCTTCCTGTAATCTCTTCAAAGATGAACCATGTTATAAATGTGAGGATGACTGGAAGGAACATGGAGGAAATTGCTATTACTTCTCCACCAATTCATCCTCCTGGAATAAGAGCAGAACTGAATGTACAAACTAAAGGAGGAGACCTGGTTAAGAATAGACAGCAAAGAGGAGCAGGTATAAAACACTCTGCAGGTTCATGTTCTCATCCTGATGTTTCATTATCACAGGACTGAAAGATTCCCAAAATAATTTAATCAAATGTTCCTGTTTAGAATTTCTTGAGGAAAAATGTTCAACAAAAAATGGAGATACATGACATCCCTTTCTGGATCGGACTGACAGACTTAGCAGAAGAGGGCAGATGGTTGTGGGTGGATGGCTCCCCACTAAATGAAAGGTTTAATTCAATCTAATTAGATTATACAACATCACACACACACACACACACACAGACAACAGACACACACACGGACAGACAGACAGACAGACAGATAGATAGAAGATATGATGCAGATATACGCCGACATCATCCTAGTGCAAAGACAAGTGGAAGCAGACAAAAACAACAAGCACGCATGCTACAAACTTTACCCGAGTCATTTAGACAGCCGTTAGCACATGATTCTCCTTATGGGGACCTGATATGTTTAATATGCTGCTGAGAATATAGCCCAGAAGAAGCGTATAGTATAGCTTTTATTTTGGAAAGAGACATTTCTCTGTAATAAACTCTCTTTTCCAAAGATGAGTGATTCTCAGATCAGATAGATTTATTTTTTATTACTTTTGTTGTTTCAGCAACATTAAATTTAAAAACTGTACTTTTGAGTTAAAATATATATTTATAATTTTAATAAATGACAAATTAAAAAGGCATGAACATTTTTTTGTATCGAAAAATATCAAACCGTGACTCCAAAGTATCGAGAATATATTATTAGGGTGTAATCGATTGCACAAATTCACGTTTGTTCGATACGATCGATGATTTTCGGCGTAAATGTGCAGTCATATTCGTTGTGTTCCCACTAGTGCTGTCAGCGTTAATCTCGTTAAAATTGACATTAACGCCATAACGCGCAAATCTCCGTTAACGAGTTACCGCATCGCCCCGTGCTGGGGCTGGACGGCGTCAACACGTTAACAAGCTAACTGCGCTAACGCACTAGTTCCCACCAATTGAGCATTGCGTGGCACATCCGACATACTGTTTTACTTTTGTCCATGACGCACTTACCATCAGGGTCATGCTTCACATGAAAACCAAGATAGTTCCAAACGCCAGATCTGAATGAGGGTGGGGGAGGTTCAATTTTCGGGTAGCGTTGAGGCAGTTGCCATGTTTCAACGAGCTTAGCTTCTGTCTTGCTAGCTTGCGCTGCACTCAGTGGATCTGCACTCGACAGTGCAGCCTAGGCGGAGTAGTCAGAACGCAGATCCACTGAGCGCTCAACACAGACAGCATCGTCAGAAGAAAAGTTGATAAAATAAATAAAAAATTTGTATTGTTCGATACATATGCATACCGAACCGAAAGCACTGTATCGAACGGTTCAATATCAATACGAGTATTGTTGCACCCCTAATATATACATATATAGTCACCTTAAGGTGCATTATACTGTGAGGAAAAAAGGGACCGCAAAAATCAGACAATCCCAGTAGCATTTTATTAAAGTGAGTGAGGAGGTAAGTGGAAAGTGAGGAAAGAGAAGAAACACACACAGAGACCAGGACAGAACACAAACACAGCGAAAGAGAAGACACATTTTATGACATCCAATAGTGGCGTAAAAAAAGACTGAACACATTACAAAAACACTTTTGTTCATTTCCAGAATCATAGTTCAGCTTTTACTTACTTACTTTACTTGACTCTTAACATTCTTTCTGTTTTTCATCCTTTAGTTTGACATTTTGGAGGGTTTTTGAGCCAGATGATTGGAAAGGGAAAGATCCTGATGGACAGGACTGTGGTAGGATGGGGCCAGTGTATTGGTTTGATAACTCCTGCAACAGATCTCGTAGAAGTATTTGTGAGAAATCAGCAGTGGTCGGACACCATATATTTGTATGTGTCTAAAATTCAGGTCAGCATGTATTTTTTTAAACAACTTGAGCAGAGTATGTAAAGCTAATACCACAAACATTTAAGCTGCCTTTCAGAAATGCTCAGTGAAAAAAGAAATTCTGCATCGTGTATAATAAAATAAATGTGAATAAATATTATGTGCTGCATGTCGACATCTGAAACTTTTGCCTGTAAGAAACTTAGACTACATAAACAGACTTCAATATTACTCAATCAACTCAGGAGGGGAAAGTAGTGCTTAGTGTTCTTAGATTATGTGATAATTTAACTTGTGGTTGCCTCAGTCAGCCATGTTATTGTCTGATACACAGTGTGCCATTTCCTGTTTGGTTAATGCAGCTGTATTTGCCACAGCTATCTGGTTTACCGTAAATAAGAGGAAGTGAATGTTTACAATAAAAGTGTAAATTACAGTGTGCATGAACATCAATGCCAGCTTCATTGTTTTAATTCAGTTGAGCAAAACAACACCTAAAAAAAGACAACCTATAACACAAATGGTCCTGCATCTACATAAAGATAAATATATATCTACTATTAACTGAGTTTACATTGATCTCCAACCTCCTCCTTGTAGTTTGTTATTCATGAGGACTTAAGACCTAATTTATAATTAAAGTTTGCCTCTTTTGTTATAGTTTATGTGAAGGTTTTAGACTTTGATTTACTTTGGAGTTCAGTACTATCTGAAATGTTGAAGGTAAAGATGATTTACTTTTTTTTCAACAATGAAGCAAATCGTTTGTTAGGATATATGAATTCAATCAAACTGACGTGAATTCACAAAATGTTGCAGAGGAAATGGTACGTGTTTTTATTGCATTTTTTCAAATATATATACTTATACATCTCTCCTGAATGCAACACACAACCTTGTCAAATGTTATGGTGAATAAAATTAGCACTACAGGCAGAATGAAAATAGAAACTAAAAAAGTACTTTAAAAAATTAACCTAACCCCCAACAGATGCTAGAAAGGTACTAAAGAATTAGGTTGAATTGCTAATTTTTAATCTGATGTATTTTTATCAAGTTTAGTGAATCTAAAATGCTATAGATTTGCATTAAATTTCTTAAACAGTTTTTTGAGCTAAAAAAAAAACTACAGAAAAAGTCACAAACCTTGAAGTTTGTAAAACTGCAATATCACGGGTAAGAATGGGATACACCTATACTATACTATAAAACTGGATTAAACTTGGACCATCAGTGCAATTTGATATGATGGCTCACATCCATTATTACC